GACTCCAGGGGGAATAACCTCCTGATCTTGGAGGCCTTAGAGTTGTGTGAATAAGCCTTCAGGATCATCATTCCACTGTACAGCATGTCACCAACACGACATTGGCAAATTAACCCAACAAGAGGCTTCTTACCACACAAATAATCTCACTAAGTCATGGAGGAGCCCCTAATCCAATGCATCCCATATGGAAGAAAGGCTACGTATATACTTGGGCCCTTCAATGGGTCATTTTTGAATATCCCTCCACCCCTCATCAGGAGAGAGGCTGACCTTCGAAGGTGGCCGTGAGAGCATCATCAAAAATGTTCAAATAGAATGACTGAGCCAGGAAGAGAGCATTGCTTCAGTGATTCATAGCCCACCGTCGCCACCGTAAGGGAGCGAGTCTGGTGCATTCCTTGTCAGGAGTAAGACTGGTGATATGAACGGTGGTGGGAAGAATTCATTCTGGAAACAGAGCATGGAGACTAAACGTGGCTCTAAAGTTAACGTCATTTTCACCTGTCACCTCATGTACTGGTAATTTAATTTTTTCTCTGAACTTTACTGTAATTGCTCCTTAAGCACCGTTACCTGAACAAGAGCTTTGTCTGGATCTGATGCCAAATCCTCCTAGGCAATTTCAGGTAATTATAAGTTGCAGTCATCGTTCGTAGCTCCCATCTGCCCTGCACCTCGCTCCATGGCTAACCCCCCTGGGCAGTTTGTGCGCCATAGTTCCTTGTCTAGCCAGCCTGGCGAGCCGATGCAGATGCGTAGGACTAATTTGCCCGGAGAGTTCGTAACTGGTTGGGAGGGGCCTGCCACTCACCGTATGGCAGCTGCTTACCCCCTCGATGGCGACGCTTGCCCGACGGCTGGCACCAGCACTTGGGCGACTTTAGGAGTCGGCAGGCGCCGGGTGGGGTTCTGTGTCATCAGACGCCTCTGTTGCCTTCCTTGTTCCGCGCTGCGCGGACCGCGTTCGGCCACAGCCCTCGCTGCTGCTACCCCGTGCACGTCTTATTCATCCGGAGCAGTTACAGCTTAGAGTCCCCGACCCATTGAGCAGCTCTGGGGCTGGCCCCCTCGTCTGAGCAGAGCAGACTCATGCGAACTGCCTCCCCTGTCAGCTCATTTCGTTTTTCCGTGCTGATCCGTCCAGCACGTTCCCACAAGTTTCCACTGAGGACCTGACTCGCCATCACCTCTTCTCCCTCATTTCCCACCATTTGCAGACATCCCTGTGTCTGGAGGGTGGGCGTCTGAGTCGGGTGGAACGCAAGGTGCGCCGGTCCCCGTCCCATCCTCGTGGTCTATATCTCCACTTCACCCCATGTCTTGGGCTGCTTTGGCTCCTGGGGCTCTCCGCCCGCCCCTATGTTTGTTTTCACTCTCCATGAGCATGCTTACTTGTACTCCCGATCACCTTCCTTTGCCTTTTTTGAGTATCCTGCATCTGAACTTTTCCAATTCTCGATGCCGTCCTTGTAGGGGGAGACCCAGTCGTGGGTAGAGACCAACGAATCGTATGTTCCTTCTCTGTGGCAGGAATCCGGTTCGGAGACTTGTTTATTCCGCCATTTTCTCCTCTCTCAACTTTGCTTCTGACCCTGCAACAGTTGATCGCTGCCATAATTGGCTCCAGTGGAGGAACCCCATTCTTTTTCAGATTTCTTTTTCTTTTTTTTGAGACATACTTCTCACCTTGCCCAGGTAGAGTGCCATTTTTCAGCCTAGCTACAGGCAAACCTTCAAGTCCCCTGGCTCAAGCGATCCTTCTGCCCCCCCCAAGTAGCTGGGACTACAGGCATGCACCTACCATTGTCCCAGCGGTCAATTACTATTTCCAATATTTACATTTACATATAATATATATAATAAAGAATGGGTCTCACTCTTGCTTCTCTGTTTGTCGAACTCCTGACCCTTTGAGCTATCCATCCAGCCTCGGCCTCCCAGAATCTAGGATTACAGGCGTGATCCACCGTGCCGGCCTTTTTTCAATTCTTGATTCCATGAGTCATTCTAGAATGCTTCAAAACCTGAAAGGTGAAAGATTCATTGCAGGAGGAACATGTACCAGAGGAAGAGGAACGTATTTTCTCTGAAATTATTATCTCTCCTTCTTTGATTCTCATCTTTCTTCAGGTCCTTTTGCTTCCGCCACATCTATGGCGCTGGTGCAGACCATACCGCTGGTCTCCGGGCTGCTCCGGTGGTCTCAGCCTCCAGTTCTCCTCCACAGCCTTCTCCCGTGGAGTCTCCCGGGGTCTCAGGTACCCCTCCTTCTGACCCTCGTCTGCTGTATGCTCGTCTTCTTGCTTCTTTCCTCTAATTTCTGCTAGAATCTGTCTTTTCTGCAGAGACACTCTTTCTGGCAGTGTTATTCGTCTGCCAACTTGCTCCACCCCCCAATTTTAATTTCTTTTATTAATGATTTATTTAAAAACTTTATATATTGTGATAACATCCCTTATCAGATATATCATTTTTATTTTATGTATTTGTGTATTTATTTTGTGACAGAGTCTTACTCTGTTGCCCGGGCTACAGTGCCATGATGTCAGCTTAACTCACTGCAACCTCAAACTCCTGGGCTCAAGCAATCATACTGCATAAACCTCCCATGTAGTTGGGACTACAGGCATGTGCCACCATGCTCTGCTAATTTTTTATGTATATATTTTTAGTTGTCCAGCTAATTTCTATTTATGTTTTTAATAGAGACAGAGTCTTGCTCTTGCTCAGGCTGGTCTTGAACCTACGATCTCAAATGAACCGCCCGCCTTGGCCTCCCAGAGTGCTGGGATTACAGGCCAGAGCCACCACAAGGAGCGAGATATATGATTTTTAAATATTTTCTTCCATTCTAAATGGGTTGATTTAGACCAGCAAGACACAATTGCCTTTGAAAACATCAAGATGATCATTCTCAGATTGTATTTCCACTATTTTACTTACATTCTTAATGATACCCTTTGACGCACAAATTTTTAATTTTGATAAAATAAATCTTTAATAATTAATTGTTTCCATAGTCACAGGCAATAATTTGGAAAATGTTATGGCTAGACCAGCCACTACCAATTCAGTATTTATTACTACTCTCCATAATATTGTTATATAAAGAGGTATCACCTAAAGGAATACTTTAAGAAATAGTAAACACCAAGTGATAAGAATACGTTAAAAAGATAACAAAAAACTGGAAAATAAACATACAACAGGTTGGAAAATAGAAGAGAAAATACGGAATGAGAGTTATAAATAAATGTAAATACAGCAGTACTTGTATTAATATAAAATCTAAATAATGACTCAGGACATAAGCATTTGAAGAACACAATATAAAAATGTAATGTATGTGACAGATGTTTAGATATTTATGTATAGCATATATATGTACTACATTTATACACATGTATGCTCTTGTGTGTATGTGTGTATAAACTGGAAAGACACGTTTGTCAAGAATATATATAATAGTTACCTGAGTTGACCATATAGATCACAACTCAGTGAATATTTCAAGATTCAGACTCATAAAGATAAATGGTCTACCCATACTATATATATGACTTAAAAAGAGTCAAAGAGATGGTAATTAAAAATTTTATATTCGTCAATTAAATATATGCTTTCATACAATTCAGAGTCAACAAAATATCATAATAATGCACACACTCTTGTCCCAGAAATGCCTCACCCAAATATATAAGCAGAAGCATATGAATATATAAACCCGATGATAAATACACTAGAATATGTATACCAGAATTATTACTAGTGTCCAAAAACATGAACAAAATAAATATCTATCAAAAGTAATAGTAAGAAATAATCTGTAGCCATTGTCAATCAAGGGGATACTACACAGTCATAAAATTAACAAACAACTGCTATAAAAAGACACTATATGATTTAATTATATAAATAAAGAAAGCTAATTTATGGTGTTAGAGGTCAGGGTCATACTTAATTTGAGGGTGAGGGTAATGACTAAACTTATCTAAGAAAAGGGGATACGACTGAGCAGGTGCGATACCACATATTGTAATCTGGGCAATAGGTGCGTTGGGATCCACATAATTTTTTAGTTAAATTTAACATTTGAGCTGTTTGCTTAGAGTATGTACATTTATCTTTTCAATTTCCTATTTAAAGGTTTCTTTAAGATGATATACAACACATTTTAAAACTCTAAGATCAAATGAAAAATAAGCGCACTAAAATAGAGGAAATCCTAGGGGTGCTACCATACCAGGAGAAGCCTGTCTGAGAGTCAGCATTTAAGGGGAAGCCTCAAAAAGAGATGGAAGCAAGCACTGTGTTGTGTCAGTGAAGAATGTTCCAAGTTAGGGAGAGAGGGGACAAAACGTTTAAAGGTGAGTACACAGGTGGTAGCTAAAAGGACAACAGAAGGACAACTTCCCTGGAAGAGAAGGTGCATGGGAGAGAGTTAGATGTTCCAGGACTGACAATGTAGGGTCATGTAGAATACAGAACAGATTCTTAATGTGACGAGAATCCAGGTGGAAGTCTTGTTCTCTGAGTGTCATAATATGACACTTGTTTCACAGAAATTCTTTCTGGGTACTGGATAGGAAACAGAGAGTAGAAGAGAAAAAAGAATAGAAGCAGAGAGACTTCTCAGGAGCTATTTCCACCAGCAAGACACAATTGCCTTTGAAAACATCAAGATGATCATTCTCAGACTGTATTTCCACTCTTTTACTTACAGTATGTGGAATACCTCATAATATTTTTTCTACTAGAAAGTTACTAACATTTGCACCTGCCCTTTCATTTTCCCTTTTAAAAATATTTTAATAGTAAAATTCCAATTCAAAAATCAAACTGGCTATGATGACCCAAAACATTCAAATTCTATGTCGATATTGTGACATTTCCTTTGAGTCGTTTGCATGACACTTTTCCCAAACCATTCATGAATTTCATATGGTTAGCCAATAAGCTTACGTTCAATGTCAGAATATTTATGACTTTTTTCCCAGATATAAAGAGAATGCTATGAAATTATCAAGAATTCAGCGTGATCAGCCAGTGAAGCCTCTCGACCGAGCAGTCTTCTGGATCGAGTTTGTCATGCGCCACAAAGGAGCCAAACACCTTCGGGTTGCAGCCCACGACCTCCCCTGGCTCCAGTACCACTCTCTGGATGTGCTTGGGTTCCTGCTGGCCTGTGTGGCCACTGCTATAATCGTCATCATGAAATGTTCTATGTGTTTTTGGTGGATGTTTGCTACAGCAGGAAAGAAGAAAAAAAAGGAGTAATTAGATCTAGACCTGAAGCAGAAGTCCATGATACATGAGAATTCTTCAGTTTATTCCAGCGAGAAGTGCTTGTGACGTAAGATTCCCTTCCTCCTGTGACCACCTGAATTTTCACAATTAAGTTTGTCGAATCTGTTTGTTTATGAAACAATTGATAATTTTTTGAAAGTTAGAAATATTTGATTGTGAAGAGAAAAGAAAATCTGGGGGAAAATAAAAAATAAATAAATATGATACGGGTTTATGTAGACATGTACTGTTCCAATTCAGTACATGAATTGTACTTTCTCTCTCTCTCTCTCCTCCTTCTTTTCCCTGTCTCTGTCCCTCTCCCTGTCTTTCCATATTTCTTCTTCTCTCTCTCTCTCCTTTATTCCTATATTTCTTCTCTGATTCCTTCTCTCATACTCATGCCTGTACATCTATGCTTCTGAGAATCCAGCTATAGGCACTGCTACTAGTAGAGGAGGGAGGGAGCCGCTTGGAGGTGACAAAGGGGTCTCTCTTTTCACATCTGGGTACAGAGGTGACATCAGGACTTACTTTGGGCATCTCCTTCCCATTCCTCACCAGGCTACACCACAGAGTTCTGTTCAACACCAGGACATTCAAGGCAGGAAGAGTGATGGAAAAATCCAACTGAAAGTGGGATGAAAATTAAAACGTTCATGGCTTACTAAGATCTGTAATGAAGACCTGTAATGCCATCCAAAGGGCTTTCAATCTTGATGTGGGTCTTCATCCAGAAGCCCTGAAGTGTTAGGTAGATAGTAAGGGATTCTGGGTTCCCTAGGGACAAAAGTGGTTGCTGTTGCCCTTATCTCGGTCCTTCCCAACCCTGATTCTCTATACTTGGGGAAGGAGGGACTACCCCATCAATCTGCCAGTTAGAACTTGGTGTGCCATCAGCAAAAGATGCAGAGGACTCTCTAGCCCATGGACCAAACCACATGAGAACCATCGAGACTGGAAAGTGACCTAGAACCTGATATGTAGTTAAAGCTCAGGTCATTTGACTCCCAACTGTCTAATCAAAGTGGTTCCATGGTGATGGTGACCTCTGAGCCACAAGGGAGATCTCTATGTGGACACTATAAAATAGGACTCAGACCATAGCCAAGCTCTCTCTTTCTCTTTGCTCTTCCTTTTGACTGTCCTGCTGGTACAATGGGTCCAGTATTCGTCCATGCCATATGCGCCATGCTTTGTAAACCCATATCATGCTCTTGCCCTATAATGTTATCTTTCTCTCCTCAATAAACCTCATTTCCGTGCTTGCCTAACTTTGGTGTGTCTGGTAATTCTTTGACCATGGGCATGCCAAATACTGATGGTCTCAGACTAAAACCTAATGGAAGGACTCATGGTGCCCACATCCAACCCTAACATGGCATTCACTTGTGAAACATGGAGGTGTATTCAACATTTGTTATGTGATAATTCAAAATTTTTTTTAAAAAAATATTTAATACAACCTAAAAATATTTCTTATTAGTCTTCATTGTCCAGACTGCCAGGGGAATACACCTCCTTGATCTGGGGAGGCTGTAGAGTGTGTGTGAATTAAGCCTTCATGGATCATCAGTTCCAGCTTACAGCATGTCACCAACACACATGTGGCAAATAACCCAACAAGAGGCTTCTGGACCCACACAATAATTCTCACTAATCATGTAGGAAGCCCAATCCAATGCAGGCCCATATGGAGGAAAGGCTGACGTAAGACTTGGGCCCTTCAAGTTCTATTTTATTGCATGTAGCCTCACCCCTCAGTCAGACAGAGGCTGACCTGTCAAGGAGAGCCAGCATCATAAAATGGTGCATAATAGAAGTGACTGAGCCAGGAAGAGGAGGCATTTGCTTCAGTGATGTCATAGCCACCGGGGGCCACTAGGGGGTGGGACTGGTCATTCCTGTGTCAGGAGTAATGACTGTATAGGAACGGGGCGTGAAGAATGTCATTCTGGAAACAGAGCAGTGGAGACGAAACGTGCTCTAAGTAACTGATTTTCACCTTCTCACTTCAGTACCTGGTAAGTTTAATTTTTTTTCCTGAATTTACTGGTAATTGGCTCCTTTAAGTCACCTTTCCTGAACAAAGAGTCTGTTGTCTGGATCTGATGCCAATATCCTCCCTTAGCAATTTCAGGTAAATATAAGGTGGCCGTCACTTCCTAGCTCCCCAGTCGGCCCTGCACCCGGCGCCCCAGTGGCTGTAACTCCCCTGGGCAGTTTGTCTGCTCAGTAGTTCCTTGGTCGAGCCAGGCCTGGCGAGCCGATTGCAGATTGCGTAGGGACGGAATTTGCCCGGAGAGTTGCTAGACTGGTGGGGGAGGGGCCTGCCACTGCACCGTCTGGCAGCTGGGCTGTGACCCCCTCGATGGCGACGGCTTGCCCACTGGCGGGGCACCAGCACTGGGGGCGACTGTTTAGGAGGTGGCAGGCGCCGGGTTGGGGGTCTGGGTCATCAGGACGCCCTGTTGCCTCCTCTGTGCCGCCTGCCCGACCGCCTGTTCGGCCACAGCCCTCGCTCTTGCTGACCCCGGTGCAGTCTTATTCACCCGAGGCAGTTACAGCTTAGAGTCCCCGACCCAGTGAGCAGCTCTGTGGGGCTGGCCCCTCCTTACCAGAGGCACGGCATCTAACTGCCTCCCCTGTCAGCTCAGTTCGGTTTGTCCCGTCCTGGAGCCGTCCCAGCACGGTTCCCACAAGTTTCCACTAAGGACCTGACTCTCCAGCACCCTCTTCTCCTGCCGATTTCCCACCAGTTTCAGACAGGTCCCTGGCTGGGTGGGTGTGGAGGTCGGTGAGGAAGCAAGGGGTTCTCCTGTGGGTCTGAGCCCACTTCACCCCAGGTCTGGGGGCGGCGCCGCCCACGCGCCCTATTGTTTGTTTTGCACTCTCCAGAGCATGCGGTCTTGTCTCCCGATCACCTTGCCTTTTCCTTTTTTGACAGTCCTGCACTGAACTTCTGATGACTCTCGATGCCGTCCTTGTAGGGGGGAGACCCAGTCGTGAGTAGGAGACCAAGATCTATGTATCCTTCTCTGGGAGCAGGAATGGGGGGAGACCTTTATTCCGCCATTTTTTCTCCTCTCTCAACCTGGGCTTCTTGACCCTGCAACAGAGCGCTGCCAAATTGGGCTCCAGTGGAGGAACACCATGTCTTTTTTCAATATTTTTTTTTCTTTGGAGACAGACTCTCACTCTTGCCCAGACTAGAGTGCCGTGGCGTCAGCCTAGCTCACAGCAACCTCAATCTCCTGGGCTCAAGCGATCCTTCTGCCCCCTCCCAAGTAGCTGGGACTATAGGCATGCACTACCATGCCCAGCTAATTATTATTTGGCCAATTAATTTCTTTCTATTTTTAGTAGAGATGGGGTCTCACTCTTGCTCAGGCTGGTTTCGAACTCCTGACCTTGAGCGATCCACCAGCCTCGGCCTCCCAGAATGCTAGGATTACAGGCGTGAGCCACCGTGCCGGCCTTTTTTCAATCTTGATTCCATGATCAAGGTCTAGAATGCTTCACAACCTGAAAGTTGAAAGATTGCATTGCCAGAGGAACAGGTACAAGCAGAAGAGGGAACTATTTTGTCTCTGAAATGAACTTTCTTCCTTCTGATTCCAGTCTTTCTTCAGGTTCCTTTTCTCCTGGCCACATAGGGCTGGGGCAGACAGGACGTCTCTCACTTTGCCTCCTGCTCTTCCTGCTTCCTGGAGTCATGTGCCTGGGTGGGGGCTCCAGTGAAAAGAGGCCCCAGGTGGAGCCTGGTGCAAAGGCTCCTGGCAGAGGAGAAAGTGGCCATTTAACCACTTTAAACTGTACAGGTCAGTGGCATTTGACGCTTACGTAATGTTGTGTACCTTTCACACCTATCTAGGTCCAGAGCATCCTCATCATGACATTAAACAGTCACTAACATCTCTCTCCGTGCAGGGTTGGGCAAGAAGAAATGATGAATGGAAAGAACTTGAGCACGGCGAATGAAGGATCAGGTGAAAAACTCCTGCACAAAGCAGTTTGTCCGCTGAGTGCAAAGCTGAAAACAGCTGACCTGGCTGGAAAGAAGGATGGGTGGATGGTAACCATGAGGGTCAGGCGAAAACGCCTGCCCAAAGCTGTTTGCTTGCTGAGTGCAAAGTCAGCTGAAAACAGCTGACCTGTATGGGAGTTGTTAAAGAATTAACAAAGGCCCTGAGCCTCTGCCCTGTGTCCTTGGAAATAAATACGGGGAGACCCTAGCTGAGAAGGCCATTTTATTTTTTTTCTCGTTTAATGCTCTGGCTGAAACTTCCAGTACACTGTGGAGTAGAAGTGGTGAAACAAGGCGTCTTTGTTTCCTTCCTAACCTTAGGGAGAAAGTCTTTGTTTGGTCTTCACCAATAAATATGATGTTAGTTGTGGTTTTCATAGACACTTTTTATCATGTTGAGAAATTTTCTAACACTACTCTGGGGAGTGTTCTTCAATCGTGTAAAAGTATGTGATTGATTTTGTATAAGGATTGAACAATCCTTACATTTCTGGAAAATTCACGGTTGGTCATAGTATACTTTTTATATGTTGCTGGATTCAATGAGCTATGACATTCATAAAAATTTGCATCTATACTCAAGAAAGATATTATTTTATATATTTTTTTATTTGAGATGTCTTTGTCTTCCTTTGGTATCTGGATGAAGATAGCCTTATATAGTGAGTAGGTGATATAGTGATATAGTATAGATACCAAAGTTATATAGTGAGTAGGAAAGTGTAGAGGACACTCTTTTCTTGCATTTTTAAAAGATTTTTCAAAGAACTAGTGTTACATCTTCTTTAAATATTTAGTAGAAATCTCCCGTTGTGTGCTTTTTCTTTGGGATGTTTTTGATTACTGATTTAATCTCTCTACTTATTAAATGTATGTTGAAATTGTCCATTTCTTCTTGAATCAGATTATGTAATTTGGGTTTTTAATTTTTTTCCATTTTATCTAGGCTATCTAGTTTGTTTTTTGTTTATAGTATTCTCTTATAATTTTTTGATTTCCAAATGATCACAAATAATGTCCCAATTTTCATTTTTCATGTCGTTATTTGCATTTTTCTCCATTGTTCTTTTCTAGTCTACCTGAAAGTTTGTCAATAATCTTTGATCTTTTAAATTAATCTTTTGTATTTTTGATTGTCTGTTGTTTTTCTGTGCTCTATTTCACATATCTCTATTCTAATGTTTATTATCTCTTTTATCTACTGGCTTTGGGTTAGTTTGTTCTTGAGTTAGGTTACTGACAAAATGTGGGACAAACATACCCTTTTATCAGTAGCCCACTCCTATAATAACTTGCCCACTCTCATGATAATGACATTAATCCATTCCTGAGAACTGGGTTCTCATGACCTATTCACTTCTTAAAGGTACCAACCTTTAAAACCGTTGCATAACACTTAAACCTCAACATGAGTTTTGAAAGGGGCATTCAAATTATGGATGACCTATAGCAAGACTCAGTTCCCAGAGGACCCTCAACTGTGAGCCTTGATGTGTGACCCACAAGCAGGTGCACTATGCTCCAAAAGATCTACTTGAGATTGCTGATATGTGCAGACAAAAATCTTAGTAATGTATGGGAATGGGTACCAAGTGTGTGAGATAATGGTGTAAGGAACATAAAGTTGTTGAAGCAAATTAAATTTATTGATAGGGGTTCCCTAAGCAGAGATTCTGCTTTTAATATTATAGTTCTGAGAGTTAAAAAGTGCTCTAATGGATTCTTTGTTTGATTTTCTGAAACCTGGGCCAAGAGATGGGCTACCTGGACTGAACTGAAAATGCCCAAACTACTTGGTGAAAATGTTAAGGAAAGGCATCCAGAGTCTGAGGGCTAACGAAAATGGAAGTACTTATATCCTGGGGTGGCAGGTGTTAAGGAACAACACCCCAGGTGGGCATGGTTACTGTAATGGACACAGAATCAAAGCGGCAATCAAGTAGTTTGACTTGTGCAAGCCTATATTGTTGACTAGTTGATCATGGTTTTCCTAGAATGGGAATAGTTGGAAAGACCACTAACTTATTATTAGTTCTGTATAAATATAAAAGGTCTAGTTCAAATGAACAAAAGTCTAACTTGAGTCACAAGACAAACAGTCAAACAATTGCCTGACGTGAACCAGTTTACAAGCACAGAACTTCTTGAATGAAGGGGAGAATAGGTCCTCTTTAGGAAGAACATTGGTACATTACGAAAAATGTATGTTAAATTATCGCCAGCCATCCCTGAAAGGAAATGTGCCCT